GAACTGGATGCTGGGGATCCGGTTGATTCTGATGTGTCGGGCGTTGTGGAAGAATCAGTGCTTATAGCTGGAGTTGAGGAGGCTTCCGTTGTCTCTGCTGCTGAGGTTCCGGTGGATTCACTGGTATCCGATGATGTGGTTGATCCTGTTTCCGCAGTTGGCGTGGAGGTCTCGGTGGCTTCTAAAGTGGTTTCCGTCGTGTCATCGCTGGTGGGATCAGTGGTACCGGACGGTGTTGTCGTCGAGTCACTTGTCTCCGACTCCGTTGTGCTCGACGATGACTCTGACGTTGAGCCTTCCGTAGTTGTTGTCGATGCTGGAATATCATCTAAATCGCAGCTTACTAGCTGATCCTCATTCAGATCATTACAATCCGATCCAACGCATTCGTAACACTCTAGCGCATTAGCTAAAAAAATAAAAATAAAATAAAAAATACATTAAAAAGTTGTTCATATAAATAAAATAAAAGTTGTGTCAGAAATAACCCTGATTGATAAATGGCATGGGTGTGTGTGCTCATATGTAATGCAAGCCACTGATAACGTTATAAAAGAGGTTGAGAGGTTCCAAGAGGTTGAGAGGAAAAAAACTTCACTGGAAAAAATATGTTATAGGTTGAAGTGAGGGCAACTTTCATACCAATAAAAATACACTAATTAGATGCTCAATGGAAGGAAGGAATGTTTTACAAATATAGTTATCTAAATAATCTAGAAAATATGTTCAATCGGAGAGAATATTCTGGAGAATTTCTATGTATATAGTTGGAGGATATAAAATTTTCTTCTGTATGTGAGCATTGTAAATACTTGCAAATCTTGCAGTGCATGATGTAATAAATATTAAACAAGCTCTAAACTTAGTAGAGTCGAGAATAGCGCTTGATCGGATGTCCTGGTTCCAAAGTGCGCATAGAATAATATGTGCGTGCCAAGGCATTTTTGCGACATGCGTAACATCAAATGTGAACTAATTACAATAATGGGCATGGCCCTGGTCTTCTTCTTTGAATTGGGTGGAACATGCTGATAAGGTGTGTGCCCCGTGCGCAACTAGCGTAGTTCGCTCAAAATCATACTTAGGACAATAAAGAAATGAAATCGATCGATG